TTCTTGCTTTGTTGTCTCTGGGAAAAGGTCCTTGTCTCTTCAGCTTATACTCCTTGGCTCCTTGGTGATATTCATGTGGCATGACACCTGTCTTCCCCCATCTCTGCTCACTTGCTGGCTTGTTTGGTTTAATCTCTTTTATCTCTCAAAAGAGATCGACTTAAAACACACCCGACACTAATCCTGTCTCATTAACGTAGCAAAGAAAACCCATTCCCAAATGGGATTATAACCACAGATACAGGGGTTAGGATTAACAACACATATTTTTTGGGGGCACAATTCAATCCATACAAAAATTTACGGCCATCTAGTCAATTGAGACTCATAGTGACTCTATAGGACAGAGTAGAACTGCCCCACAAGGTTTCCAAAGCTGAAATCTTTATGGAAGCAGACTGCCACATCTTTCTTCCGCAGAGTGGCTGGTGGGTTTGAACCGCTGATCTTTTGGCTAGCAGCCGAGTGCTTTAACCCCTGTGCCACCAGAGCTCCTAATTCAATCCATAACATGATGTTTATCAGATTTTTCTACTAAAAATGTAACTCTTCTTTGTAGTTAATAATTTCTTGTGGAGAAAGGATTTCCACTTTTTGATGTATCTTTCATCATAAATACTGGAAAACTGGGCAAAATACAGAAAGCAACAATTTTCAGACATTAAACAATAGGCAGAGTAGGTCTGTGAGCCTTCAGAAAAGGGGAACAAACGAGATGAGTCCTACCATTGCCTCGGCTTTATGCATGGAGGCCCTTCCTGGAATTTAGTGCAGAGGGAAAACTCAAAAACAAATGAACAAACGAAAACTGGTTAAGTTTTCGATCATCTACTGTCATTCGCCAGGATCCTTCTGTTTTTTGCACAGGCCAAAGAGGCGAGTTGAATGGGCATGTGATGGGAATCACCACCCCTGCATCCTTCAAGTCCTTGAAGGTGGCAGTAATCTCTGCAATCCCTCCAGGAATGTGGTCTTGCTTTTGGTTTACTATTTTCCTAGGTAGGGGCAGGTCTAATGGCTTCCACTTGGCTTTTCCTACCATAATAGCCCTTACTCCATTTGTCAGGGATCCAGTGTGGGGGTTCTGCCAGTTGCTGAGTATATCTATTCCAATTATGCATTCTGGAACTGGGGAAATCACTACAGGATGGGTTCGGGGACACACTGGACCTACTGTGAGATGGACATGAGCCAAGACTCCATTAATCACCTGACCTCCATATGCTGCCACTCTGACTGGTGGGTCCCAGTGATGTTTTGGGTCTCCTGGAATGAGTGTCAGCTCAGAGCCAGTATCTAGTAATCCCCAAAAAGTCTGATTATTTCATTTTCCCCAGTGACCAGTCACTCTCGTAAAAGGCCGTAGATCCCTTTGGGGAAGGCTAAGAGAAAGATTAACAGTAAAAATTTTTGGCAGTGTATTGCAGTCCTTTCTCAAGGGGACACAGCCTCCCCTTCATTCATGGGGTTGTGGGTCTTTAAACTCTCTCAAATCTGGGAATTGATTGAGAGACCGTGACTCTCTCTTCTGGCGATTCGAGTTAGACTGCTGTTCACCTGATCTAGAATTCATCCCTTTGTATAGAACAAGTAAATATTTAGTAGATTTCCTATCTATTTCACTCCTAGGGACACCATGACTAAGTAGCCAATGCCATAAGTCCATACGAGTCAGACTATTCTGATTACTGCTTTGACTCCTCTGTCCATTACTGTAACCACGCCCACCTTGCTTTGTCGATTGAGTGCAGCCACTTGGCCCCTACCACCACGGGGTCCAATCAGCCCCATTGTAGTTAGGTGTCTTAATTCAGTTAGGGCAGTTCCCACTGTCAAATCTGACTTCCATAAAATAGCAATCACAGCAGTCTTCAAGGATACTGGAGCTCCCTTCACAAATTTGTTCCTCACAGTTGTGGTAAAAAGTGTGCCCTCTGGACACTCCATGTGTGGGTCTGTGGGTCTAACTTGATAAATCCACTCTAGCATGCCAATTTCCCTAAGCCTTTGGATACCTTCTTCTGCAGTATACCTAGGCAGGTCTGGTACTTCAACTTGATTTAGTGTCGGCCACCTCTTAATCCATGCTTCAGCAACCCAACCAAATAAACTATTAGATCCTTTAATAACTTCTCTAGCTAAACATTGAAAGAACAGTCTGTGCTCAGTGGACCCATATCAATAAACTCAGACTGATCCATCTATATGTTCCTTGCACCATTATCGCACACCCTTAATAGCCATTCCCACACATATTTCCCACGTTTCTGTTTGTACATATTAGACAAGTCAAGTAGTTCTTTTGGAGTGTAGCGTACCTCCTCCTGGGTCACACTTTGTACTTCACCTGTTGGGGCTTGCTGGGACTTAAGCCTAGTTATAGGTCTAGAAGCCAGAATTGGTAGTGTGGAATTGTTCTGAGAACATTCAGCATTATCTTGTAAAGTATCTGCCTCAGGCCATGCTCCAGGCAACGACTCAGGCAAGTGCTCTTTAGAGGCAGCTGGGCTAGGGCTAATCTCCTCAGATGCGAGTGGAGGGGCTAATGGTTTTTCTGGGCAAGGTGGTTCAGCAGACAAACATAATCTCTTCAGATGGGACTGGTTCTGCTGGCAGGAGTGATTCAACAGAATTTACAGGCTCAGTGTCCCCAGCTTCCTGATTATCTGCCCATATGTCCCCATCCCAAGTCTCAGGATCCCATCTCTTCCCAATCAGTGTCCTTACTTTAACCTCAGACACCTCTCGAGGTTTGCAATTAAGCTGGCATTGTAATTCAGCCACTCTTACAATCAGACTCTGGGTTTGGTTTTCAGCAATTTCAGCTCTGTTACTACAAGAAATAAGGCTTTCTTTCAAAGCACAAGTGGAAGCCTTGAGGTCATGTATGCGGCACTTGAGCCTTGACTCTGAAGCCCTGAGCGCACCGCTTTCCTTCATCAGTTTGTCTAGTCAAAGTAGGACAAACCAACCAGCTTCCTTATACTTCTCATTCTGACAAAGCTGTAGAAAGATATCACACACGTGTTCACCCTGAGCCTCACCTTTCACCAATGCCTGCTCTACCGGTGGTGATATTTTGTGTATTTGTATCACCACATCGCTCCATGGACTAGCAGTGACCTCTTTACTGCTGGAAGCAGAGTCATCAACATCTTTAAGACTAACCAGGCTTGAGAACCAATTTAGAAAACTCATCCTTACAATTTTGTTTCTCTAGAACCACACCTGGTACCAAATGTCTTAGGCTGGGTTCTCTAGAGAAGGAAAACCAGTAAAGCGTATAAATATATACGTAGAGAGAGATTTATATCAAGGAAACAGCTCATGCAATTGTAGAGCCTAGAACGTCCCAAGTCCATGGATCAGGGTTGAGGCCTCTCCCAAGTCATGCAGCCATAGAAGCTGGCAAGCCCAAGATCGGCAGATTGGAGAGCAGAGCTCCCACTCACAGGCTGTGCAGATCGACAAATCCCAAATTTGGCAGATAAACTGACAGCTTAATCCCAAGAACCGGAGATGAGACGACAGGAGGCAGCCCCATGATCCAGAGAGAGCAAAAAGCAAGAACATCTGCTTATATTCAGATGCGGGCCACACCCCCAGGGAGACTCCCTTTCATCTGATTGGCTACTCACAGTATATTCAATTGTGAGAATCATGGCCCAGCCAAGTTGACACACAATCTTAATCATCACATCTCCTATGTATGTGTGTATGTATATGTACATGTACACATACATGTATATGTATACGTAACCGTAAGAAAAAGACTATGAGTATTTATTACAGTTGAGGATGTTTGTGAACTGACTCAGCCCTGGAACTGGGTTTGGCGCTGTTGACTCTCCATAACAGTAACTCGATTTCTTCTGGTTTTGATTAAGTATATCCTCAGTTTGTTGTTCATCTATTTCAGTCCTAGGGACCTCAGGATCAATTGTGCACAGCCCCAAATCCCTGTGGCCAGACCACTCTGTTGATTGCTTGGCCATTCTTCCTAGCGGAGTTACCTGCCTACTGCCATCTGTTGTTTGCAGAAATGGCTGCTAGCATTCCCAGGCCCTTAGGTAATTCCTTCCCACGCTGATTCACAGATTGGCCCTGTGACTTGCTTTGGTCAAGGGACAAAAGCAAATGTGACCTGAGCAGAGATTTGTGCCTTGGGGCTTACCCACCCTGGCTGTACTGAGACTACCATGTAAAAGGAGCCTGAGCTAGCCTGCTGGAAGACCAGAGGCCACACAGTCAACAGCCAGCCAGCCCCTGATTGTCAGTCTGCAGACTGTCAGACACAGGAGAGCGCCGTTCTAACCAACCAGCCAGCAGCTGACCGTAGATGCACAAGACAGCCCTGCAGAGGTCACCCAAGCTGCCCCAGACCAGAAGGACTGCCCTGCTGGGCACAAAGAATCACATACTAAGTAAAATGGTGGCTGCTTTAAGCTACTAAGTACGGGGTATTTTTATTATGCAGCAATAACTAGCTGATACACCCACAGCAGTGAGTGTTTGAGTGAGCTGGGGCATGAGTGAGTGGAGTACCTGCATCCCTGGGAAGCAGGAGGTGGGTGGTGAGCAGAGCTACAGCAGGGAAGGCTGGAAGGCTCCTGCTGGCCCTGCAATAGGGGGAGGAGTGGGATAAAATGTGGGGGCAGAGCTGCCAGTTTGCTGACTGTTGGATGTAGTGGGCTGGTGGGGGTGACTCCCAGGGCTCTGGCTGACGCAGCTGGGTGGGTGGCAGTGCCATTCTGGAGGTGGGGAGGCTGGGGAAGACCTGGCTTGGTCTGGGGAGGAAGGAGAGGAGAGGGAGAGAAATAAGAACTGTTACGTTTGCTCTGCCTACGAGCGATCACGGTGGAGAGGAGGCGTGGCTGGGCCTTTGGGACTCAGGCAAGAGGGTTTGTGGAGGCCTGCCTCACTTTCAGAGCATCCTCCCCCAGCACCCTGCAGCACCCAGAGGAGGAAGCTCCCTGCAGAAGCTTCGGGCCCAGAGGAAGTGAGCAGTCAGCCCTTCCCCAGCCCGCGCATTCATGGCCCTCTGGTGATCTGGGGGACCGGAATCTGCTTTTCTTTGGAAACCCAGCCCCCGGAACCACCGTTTGAGCTGCTGCAGTCTTCTTTTCCCTGCCAGGAGGAAGCAGCCGGGTGAGTCCTGCTAGCATTGTAGCCGCCCATGGGAGCCCTCAGCTGCTGGAACTTTCTCTGTGCAGGTGGAGCAGATCCACAGCTCAGAGGGAAGGCTCCCCAGGGAAACCAAGGCAGAGAGCACAGTGCTCATCTGAGGTTGCACAGGGGATTGGGCAAAGTGGAACCCCATATCTCTGTGCTCCCCTGCTTGCTGTCAAGTGCTGAGAGGCTGCTCACCCCTCTCCCTGTGCCCTGTATTTGACAATGGAGGAGCGGGGCCCAGACAGGAGGAAGGACGGGTCCTCCTCATGCTACAGTGAGGGACCACTGTCCCGTCCCCCTTGCCATCTCCTTGGTGCTTCACCCACCTTGGGGAGGGGAAGGAAGTCCCCCCCACACCCAGGGTTTAGCTGAACAGAGGCCCCGGGGCAGAGAGGGATTCGCCTGGCCGCTGATCGCTGGAGGCAGGTCTCAGGCTGTTGCCACCACCTGCCTCCAGGACCAGAGAGGGGAGGGGGCTTGCCCAAAGCCACACAGCCAGAATGAAGAGGTGCTAGCTGGAAGTCAGGCCTCCTAACCCCCAGGCTGGGGCCCTTCCTCTTCTCCAATCACGTCCCTCGGGCCGAGATCCTCGTGTTCAGCAGGGAGCAGGGGTCAGCCCCTGTGGCTGTGTTTTCCCCGCCTGTACTTCAGGGTGGGATGCAGCCACAGGGGGTCCTCCAGGCTGGCTGCTAGTCTGAGGTGGGTGGCTGCAGGCCCTGTGAATGCTCCCTCACACCGCTGGGAGGGTCCTGCTCTAGACCGGCCTCCCTGGGTGGGGGCTGGAGCTCCCGGGAGGGTCTTCGCCATCAACTCCTGCTGTGTGACCCCCACTGCAAATGCCTGATTGGGTTTGCGAATGCTGGGGAAGACCAAGGGGTAAGGGAGGAGGGAGGAGGGCTGACCCCATCAGTCCAGCCCATGAAAGCGAAACGAGGCCCAGGAGAGGAAGTGGCCCCGGGGAGCGGAAGGAGGCTGGCTGGTTTCTGAACCTGCCCCTGTCCCGGGTGGGGGCAAGGCCAGGCCTGTAACAGAGATGATGAGGAAGTGTCTGCTCTCTGTCCGTGCCAACCACACCAAAGTGCTGGACAGAGTAGAAGATTCTGGGAGCAGGGGGTGGGCCAAGCATGCAGTAGAAGCCAGGGCTCTGACTGAGGCGGCTGGGTGGATGGAGGTGCCATTTTGGGCATGAGCCATTGAGTCCCCCAAACCACCCTGAGAGGCAGTGAGCCCCATTTAGAGACAGGGTCAGAAGCCTTACTGAGAATTGCGGGGCCAGGCAGGATCGGCCGTCTCTGAGAGCCGAGCCTGCATGGGGTGGGAGGGCGGGTGGGTCGGAGGGGGTTGGCTTACCAGCCCCAGTCTGCTATTCTGGGGCTGGAGGTGCCGTCTGTGCAGATCTGTCTCTGTTCAGGGCCCAGGTGAACAGGTGTGGGGTCTGCCCTGAGAGCTTACGGATGGTAGACGCCATGTGTCACTGTTTTCACCTCCACCAGCCCTCCGCAGACTGACCAGCTACCCCGATCTCAGCCCCAGGGGTTGTCAGGGTCCTGACAAGCTCCCAGGAGCCGCCCACCCCTCCTTTGTCCCCACTGCCCCCGGGGTGGGGTCCCTGTGCAGACGCAGAACACTGCTCCACCTTCTCCCGGTGCTTGCTCTACCCTCTCCCGGGGCCCCCATGCCCCCCCGGCTGGAACCAGTCAGGTACACACAGCGCGAAACCCATCTGTGTCCGCATCCTCCAGGGCAGCAAAGAGAAGATGGAGCCAGAGTCCCTCTACAACCTGCTGCAGCCCGTGAAGGCCGTGGAGCCCCCAGCTGAGGAGGATCTCCCCAACAGTGCGGTGCCCCGGGGGGGCGGGGAGCCAGGCCCGGGCGGAGGGTGGGGTCTGCATGGCAGAACTGGTCAGGCTTTGCTCAGAAGGTGCATTGCTTTCCCGGTGGTCCACTGGACCCCTGCCCTGCCTGTGTCTTCTGCTTTAAACTTGACCCACCCTCCTGCCCCCAGAACCTTCCACAGAGCTATCCCCATGCCCCTCAGTCTCACACCTCTGGGTGAACCATGCTGCTGCTAATAAATGCTAAACATACTGGGCGCCTGCTATGTGTCATTTCTAGGCACTTCCTGTCTGCAGCATCTCATTTATTCCTCTGAGCGTAGATGTTGCTGTTGATCGTTGCTGTTGGGTCGGCTCCCTCTCATGGCGACCGCGGGCACAATGGAATGAAATGTTGCCTAGTCCTGCATCCTAACGATCGTTGGAATGCTCAATCCCATTGCTGTGGCCACTGTGTACCTTGAGTGCCTTCCAACCTACGAGGCTCATCTTCCCGCACTATATTGGACAGTATTCTGTTATGACCCATACGGTTTTGAGTGGCTGATTTTCAGAAGTAGATCACCAGACCTTTCTTCCTAGTCTGCCTTAGTCTGGAAGCTCCGCTGAAACATGTCCACCATGGGTGGCCGTGCTGGTTGCCTTAGTCATCTACTGCTGCTATAACAGAAACACCACAAGTGGATGGCTTTAACGAACAGAAATTTATTTCTTCACAGTAAATAGGCTAACAGTCCAAATTCAGGGCATCAGCTCCAGGGGAAGCCTTTCTCTCTGTGTCGGCTTTCTCATCAACGTTCCCCCAGACTAGGAGCTTCTCTGCGCAGGGACCCCGGGTCCAGAGGACATGCTCTGCTCCCGGCGCTGCTTTCTTGGTGGTATGAGGTCCCCAACTCTCTGCTCGCTTCCCTTTCCTTTCATCTCTTGTAAGATATAAGGTGGTGCAGGCCACACCCCAGGGAAACGCCCTTGACATTGGATCAGGAATGTGACCTGGGTAAGGTGTTACATTCCCACCCTAAACCTCTCTAACATAAAATTACAATCACAAAATGGAGGACAACCGCACAATACTGGGAATCAGGGCCTAACCAATTTGACACGTATTTTGGGGGGACACAATTCAATCTATGACACTGGTATTTGAAATACCAGTGACATAGCTTCCAGCATCACAGCAACACTCAAGCCACCACAGTATGATAAACTGACAGATGGCTGGTAGAGCGTAGATGTTATTACCTGCTTTTTACGGTTGAGGAAACTGAGGGACAGAGCATAAGGTAATAGAGAGTTGCGGGTGGCACCATTAATAAGCAACAGAAATGGGATTCTGAACCCAAGGAGTGTGGCTCCAGAGTTCAGCTTACACGGCCCAGTTCCCTGTGATCCCTGGTGCTGGGTGCCAGGCCAGGTGACCTGCAAAGAGAGAGCTGCCCAGTGCCCCTCAGGGACCCCACACATGCGCCCTGCTCCCTCTATTCCAGGAGAAAAGAGGAAACACTTGCCAGCTACCTCCCGGAAGGACACCAAGTTTGAAGAACTGCAAAAGGTACCCCTGGCTTCACCAAACCCCGATTTCTCTGGAAGCAGCTTTCTCGTGGGCCAATGGGTATTCGCTCCCATGGATGGTTCTGGAGACAGCAGGCCGCCCTGCCCTGGTCTGGCCCCAAGATGAGACCTGGTGAATGGTTGCAAGAACTAACATTTATTGAGCACCGACTGTGTGCCTTCACATACACATGCTCGTCAAGCGTCAGAACGGTGGGAGGGATCTGTTCTCAGCGTGTGATATCCCTGTGGACCGCACAGGGATAAGGGAGGGCTTCCCAGAGGAGGTGACATGGCACCCAGGCAGGAGGATGGCTAGGAGTTGCAGGTGGGAGGAGGGCATTCCAGGTAGAGGGCAGAGCTGAGCCAGGCGAGGGGCCAGTGAGCTGTCAATGAAGAGCCCGCCGTCCCCTGGGCCTGCAGGTGCTGGTGGAGTGGGTCAACACAATGCTCTTGCCTGAGCACATCGTGGTCCGCAGCCTGGAGGAGGACATGTTCGACGGGCTCATCCTGCACCACCTCTTCCGTGAGTGGCTGCCCCTGGGCTGCCAGGGTCTCCGCCACATCCCCCACCCGGGCCCTCTGCCCCGACCACTGGGCTCTTCACTCAGACTCATTCTCCCACCCCCCCACCAGGCTCTGGGGCCACCAATTGACCCACTGCCAGCGAGTCGATTCCGACTCATGGCAACCCTATAGGACAGAGCAGAATGCCCCATAGGGTTTCCAAGGCTGTAAATGGTTACGAAAGCAGACTGCCACATCTTTCTCCTGGGGAGCGGCTGGTGGGTTCGAACCGCCGACCTTTCAGTTAGCAGCTGAGCACGTTAACCACCGCATCACCAGGGCTCTCTGGGGCCACAGTTCTTGCTTTTTCTTGATCAAACCATGTGCTCTCCTACCTCCAGGCCTTTGCCACAGTGGGTCCCTCTTTCTGGAGGGCCCCCATTTTCCCAACCATGTTTAACACAGTTCTGCCTCCTCCTCCTCACCTCCTCATTGCCGGCTCCTCCTCCCCCTCACCTCCTCCCCCTCACCTCCCCC